GAGTCCCATGAAAAAGATGTTGTCAAGTTAGTCCAAATGAATCCACAGGAAGCATCTTTACTATTGTTACATTGTAGTTACAATCAAAGACGGCTCGCAAATGGGGTAAACTAGTCCCGCACTATGTAGAACCTGTTTGAAGTGTCCAAATGTAGTGATCCTCCAGCTTGGGATAAAAGATAATCGGCTGTAGTCGATTGCTGGATCCGAGTGTAGGTAGCCAAGTATCAGGTCCAGCTACTTGCAATTCCTGGACGCGAATACGACGAACAATGGAATATCTTGGTTCCAATAAAGGTTCCTCTTCGTTTTCGAAACCGTATGTCAGTGGTAAATCGCAGCCAGTACAGCAGCATGACGTACAGCCAATATCCCTTGGGGGATGAGAAGCAGTTCTCGCAGGACTTCTTCTGCATAGATGGTCTGATTCCTTTTGAAACGGATAATCGCATTTTTTGCCATCTTCAAATATGTTAACCGGATTAATTTGGTTATAACATAAAAAAAACTCCAAGGAAAACAACGATATTAGATACTTTTTTTCGAAATATATAGCGAAATAACATCCCTTCACTCTTTCGTGCATAAAACTGATTCAGCAAACTCGTCTAAGCTCAGAATTTCAGCACATGCACAATTTTGCTCAAGACAGCATCATGATTCAAGTTAGTATTATGGCGATATTCATACTTGAATTTATATGTACATTTTGTTCGTATATTGCAACAAAATACAGGCAGCTTATTCAACGTATCAATTAGATTGCCACTAAAAAAATAAATGTTCATATTTTCCACAGGCCATCATCCAGACTCGTGTCAGTAGGTAAGATAACCACTCTCTGAATGTGTTAGCTGTTTTTGTCGTAACATGAACTGGTGCTTTTGGTTTAATATTTATATAGGGGATTTGGTTGACATTTTCATATACAAAGTGCTCATATAAATTCAAAAGCGAATATCTCAATAAAACTTACCAGATTCATAATGCAGTCTTCAGCAAAGTTGTTACATATTGTTTGAACTAAAATCTTTGAAAATCTGAATCAAATCGAAAATTAGGAATAGAGATGTCATTTTTTACGTATTTTATACAAAATTCAAACTAAAAGCGCCAGCTCATCCTACAACCAAATGAGCTAAATCTTTCAGATAATAGTTTTCTCACCTAAAGGCACACATCTAGAGTTGCTAGTCTACTATACAAGTGTGACCATGGATTTGTTCATAATTTATTACACAAATAATGCTCATGTTCATAGTAGGTCACACAAGTGTATCCGCAGCATAAGTGTTTCTCCTAGCGGCAGTGTCAATGACATCAAGTAGGGTAGAGAACTACTTTGGCCCAAGGGCCTCTCAAGCAGAAAACATCAAATAAATCCATGATTTCGGCGTTAACAGGTAAATTATGCTTTTGGTACGATACTTTAGTTCAAATGCTACCGAACGAAGTCAATAAGTGACGCGTGATATGAATGTTTGCACCCAATATTCTCAAACACAAATTAAGCGCTCCGACTGAATCAATCATTATCTTCATTCGATAGGCCGAAGTTAATTCATTGACGTTTCAATGCGTGACGCCGAGTTTAGAATCCTTAGGCCGAGTTTAGCGTCAAAAAGCAGTGTTAGGCTTTTAACAATATCTCAACAATTTGTTTCTCTTTATTAAGTACAGAAGGTTTAATAAGCCATCAGTAATAATAACATTTCGTTTGGTGCTTAACTACGCTAGATTAAGAAAGACTAAGTGCGGGTTGTGCTTAGTAGGCCGGAAATGGGTTAGTTAACCCTACATTGAATTTAATACACCAGTGGATAGCGCGTTATGCGTTCACCTCAGTTCCCGTGAAAATTCGCAGACACTTCCAAGGGAAGCCAGAAGAAATTCTAAGAAAGTCGTAAGAAACTTCAAGGAGCTGTCCGAAGAGTCACGAAAAACCGGATGCAAATTCCAGAGGCAAGTAGAAACCTCTACTACAATAAATTTTCGTTGAAAGTTGGAAGAGACGTCCGGGATTTCGGAAGAAATTTCTGATAGAGCTCTGGAAAAACTTCGCTTAAAAAACGGCTGTCATTTTCAAAGGAATTCAGGATCTGGAGAAATCAGAAGAAACTACTAGAAAAAGGCAGAAGGGTCTTTGGATGAAGTCTGAAGGATCTTCCAAGTGAAATAGGAAACAATTTCCCCCTTCCAGCGGAAGATACACAAATCCCCCGAAGAGCGCGGTTGGTTGTTCCGTCCACCCACCAGTATTTCTCGGCCGTTTTCCTACCAATTGAGCTGATTGTTTTGTTTATGATTTATGTTAACCGTAATTAGTCACCTCAATTGGTTGAAGTTCAGCCAAGTAAAAGCGGTGGGTGCGGTACCACCTGTAATTTCGTAAGAAAATATGATGAAACTTCCGAGAAACGTTGGAAAAAAAATCTAAAAAAAATGGACGAAGCTTTGGAAACATTAAGTGGAAGAATGTCGTACGAATCATCCAGGAGAAATAAAATCTATCCCATAAGTTGACAGGAACTACCAAAGGAAATTGGAAATAATTTCTTGCAAAATCTAGGATAACCATCCGAGCGAAATACATACAAGTATTCTAGAAAAAATAAAAATAAAATTTATTGACGAAAAAAATTCTTCTTATGGTTGATAAATAAAAATGCTAACGAATAACTATCAGGCATTATCACATATGGTCACTAGACAAGAATATTTATGATTTTCAAGGACTCCCGGAAAGAGCGGTGCTGGTAGTGTAGTGGTAAGCGGATTATCTCTCACCCCAGCAGGCCTGGGTTCAATCCCAGTCGGCGCCGCCAGGATGTTTTGAAGGCATAACATCTCTGATAGGAAGTAAAGCCGTTGGTCCCCGGTTCATGAGTTGATGGGTCGATAGGTAGGGTCCAGGTGTGGAAGCTGCCTCCCTGGTGTCGGTTGCATTGGTGCTCAGCACAAAAAACAAGATCGACGGAAAACAAATCAAGGGGAAAAAAAGGACTCCCAGAAAGTGCCATCAGCATTTTCTCGATTCTTGGGTAGCCAAAAACACTACTTTAAAACATACGATAACCATGTAGAAAAAAGAAGAAAAAGAATTGGCAGGCGATCAAACTCAAAACCATTGAAGGAGCTCGAAATTTCCTCATAAAACCACAAAGAAGTACAAGTGATTCTTAGGTTTTTTAGTTTTTCCCTTTTTACTGTAAATAGATACAGTTAAGCGAATTTTAAACCACCGACGAAGAACAGTAAATCCGGAGCTTTATTCCGTCCCAGCTTTCCGATCATCATGGGCCTACCATCATTACCCTGTTAGAGGAATCTTCAACCCAAAAGAAATCACAATGTAGGTCCTTGTCAACCTTAGACAAAACATCGGTTTTTCAGTCTAACGGCAGATCAGGTGGATCCAAATTATTTTATTAAAAAAAATCAATGAAATTCGCAACAGTTATTTTTTTAAACATTCTTTCAAGATTTCTGAGAACTCGGAATGCCCTTGAAACTTTCCTAAGAATTATTTGGGAGTTTCTTATGAAGTTTCCTTATAATTCCTGTGGAAAACTCAATAAAATTGTCTCCTAACATTACTCAAAATAGCTTCCTATCTAGATTTCCATTAAAACTATCATCAGAAATCGATTCTCTTGGGTTTCTTCTCAGTACTAGTTATATTTATATGAATTCCTTATAAATTCGTTTAAGAATACATGATAAATTCTCATCAGAAGACTTCTCCTTAAAGTTCGCCTGAAATTCCAATAACAATCAAATTCACTTCACAATATTGGGATGTCCAAGATTTAATATCTATCAAAGCCTCAAACGATATTAGATATAAGATTTAGGTATTCCATGTTTCAATTTCAATATTCGATCAGCTTACTTTCAAAATTTCAATCTCATGGACCATTCAGCCCAATAGCTTTCGATTGGTGGCATTCGGATAATTTTGATTCTATGATTCTGGAGGTGTTCAAGGATCATACAGATTTAAAAATCTATATATTTTAGTGATAGTCTTCGTATGGACAGGAAGAGTTGATGACCAGCTCCAAAACAAACATCTTGAAGTCGAATCTTTTATGTTGAATTCGGGATTTCAAAATTTTGTAACAGTTTTAGAGTTCATACAGTTAGGGGCTGTTCATTAACTACGTAGACAGTTGGGAGGGGACAATTATCCACGGCCTATACACATTTTAAAAACTGCGTATGGACAATTGCCTACGCAGGGGGTGTGGGAGGGGGGGGGCGGCAAGTTTCCCAAAAAACTGAAGAGCCCTTTATCAAATATCAATTTAAAATTCGGATTATTTGGTTTGCTTTTGAATATGTGACAGTAGTAAAAATATTAATTTCATCCAGCCAAATTACTCTTTTCCAGTATTGTTTTTCACGGTGCATTTACAAATTGAGTTGCATGTTAGGAGTGAAATGTGAAATCGATATCTAATCGAACAAAACTTGAAATTATATTCCCCCTACTTGTTTTTTATTAGTTTTATTCATCAAGTAAGGCACCAATAGAGAATACCAGAATCAATTAAAAGCCATAGATCTGAATGACAATTTATTAAAAAGACTCTAATCAAAATTAAAAATACCTATACAATAAAAAAATCGAAAATTGTGAGCAACGCTGCCCCATGATAACGATAGCCAAGCAACTCACTTTTATTACTAGAATTTCCGGAATCATTTTGATGCCTACTGACATTGACCTCGGGCACGCTTGATTTGCACCTTTGCCATATGATAAAACACCACAAAAAGTCACTGTTGTACTCTTCGCTTCCGTTGTGGTTTGTGAATCTATTTCATGGCTACTGTGAGAGCAATCCAATACAGGTGTTCGTGCTTTCCAACTGTTATCAAAATGGTTAACGCATATAGATGCCATCACTATCAATAAGTTATGATACAATAAGCAAATATCATACTCCCACGTAGAAGAAATCAAGCCCGAACCCAGCTCTTTTGTTGAAACCTACCTGAAAAACCGGTCTAACTTGTCACTGGCAGTGACCGCTGTTCCCTTGAAGAAGTGGTCTTAACAGAAGAAAAAATACGGACAGTGAGACACGAACAGAAGAAGCGACCATCACCAACTATCTATCATTTGTTCGCAACCGTGCTGGGTTGATCAAAACAAGGGACGCTTCATTGCATTCGCTGTGTGTTGGAATATTAAATAAATGGTGGGATGGATAGAAAACACAACCAGAACACGAAGTGGTCTCAGAGTGACAAAAAATTCTACCGGAGAGTATTGTAATCATGATGATTCCACATTGCAATTGATACATACAAGATTTTTTCTATCCTTATGTGCGTGATGAAATACAGTCCACTCTCCACAACTCGATGTTCACTAACTCGATATCGAGTTATCTAACCATTGTAAAAATGAATTTCATGACTACTGCGAAGGTGATTTTCTATGGAATGTTATATAGCTCGATGATTCTATAACTCGATAGTCCCATAAATATCGAGTTGTAGAGAGTTCACTGTATTTGCCGATTTTTTTAAATCGTGTTGATCAAATCAGAGCTGGGTATCCAGGTACCCCATCACACACATAACAATTAAATAGTATGGACACAACAATTTTTTAAACTCATTATTTGTTTCAAATTCAAATCAATTCATGTTTTAACCTAGGTTCTCCAGCAACAAAAGTAACTCACCGACATGAATTGTAATGATATATATCTAGGTGTGTTTACTTTACTCTTGCCTTAGATTTTTTTATTGCACCTTGAAAAAAGGAGAGGGTTCGAATGAAGTAGCGTTACGTAATTTTAGTTAGGGGTCTTGTCAACCGTTACTTATTACATAGGGGGGAAGGTTTCAAAATCCGGATTTTCACGTTACGTAATTTGTGTACCGTGCCTTATTATAAAGGGAATTTCAAGGTTGAAAAGACTCATTTCAGCTCAAATAATGTTTTTCGGAATAATAAAACCAAAAGATGGTATGATGGCATGTTTTACTTGTAACTTGCAAGAAGAGGTTACAAAGTATGCGTTGGAAACATAAAACCTGTAAATTTTGCTTTCTATGAGTCACAATCAGCGATTTGCTGATCGCTGAGTGAGTGAGTGAGTGAGTGAGTGAGTTTGTGAAAAATTGTTGATTGTGACTCTCATGAAGTGAAATAAACAGGTTTAATATGTCAAACACATTCTTTGCAACCTCTTCTTGTATCCTACCAATTCAAAATTTGATCATGGCATCTAATTATTTCATAATTTAGAAAAACATTGTTTTAGCTGAAATGAGTCTTTGCAACCTTGGGGAATTTATCGTCTATTAGTAGATTGTTACGATTTTGAGGAAATTATTGATTATGTTGTTGGACATTTGTTCTAAAGTCTCAACATTTGAAATTCTATGTGCCTCGTTAGTACTGATAATAAATTTAGTTTGGGAAGCGTTAAGAGATATTTTCCATTTTTGTAAATACGAAGAGAAAATATCAACGGGAATGCCTGTGTCATCGTCGAACAAAGGTGTGTGGCAACCCTGAGGTAAAACAGGAAGGTCTGAAGTGAAAATATCGGCCCAAGAATGCTACCCTGAGGAACTTCTGCAAAATTTTTAATTTTGATAATTCACCTGCAGAGTTAAAATTTAACTAATTTCATAATATTGAGTGAAAATTAAACTTTTTTTTTAAATTTGGCACTCAAACCTTCACGTCAAACACAGTCGAATGCTTTTTCTTCTCTTTTTCTAGAAGAGCAACTCCAGTTCAGCAGCCTTCAGATTTGATTGAGCGTATTAAATTGAAAACTCTTAAGAGTTGATGAGCAGCTGAATGCCCATGGCGAAATCCAAACGATTTCCGGCCCCTACACATCACCCCGATTCTAAAAATACCCATATTGTGGGGTATTTAACAGTATGTTTCTGATTTTCTGAAACCGGAAGCCATCATCTTGAATTTCAAAATGGCATCAGACATCAATTCCTATACCCTATACGTCTCCCCGATTCTAAAAATACCCATATTATGGGGTATTTTACAGTATCTCCCAGTTTATCTGCAACCGGATGCCACTATCTTGGAACTCAAAAAAGCGTCAGAAATGGATTTCCGGTTCCTACATGTCACTCCGATACTTGTGTGTTGACAAAATTTCCGAAAACCTATTTTTACTAAGTAAATCCCAAATAACGAGGATTTTTTTTAGAAAGTAGATCCCAAATAACGAGTTTTTTTTACGCAGTTATTCGATTTTTGAACGCCTGGTTTGGTTCGTAAATGGAGGTTCCAGTGTTCCTCCTGCAGATATTTTTCAGACGGAGAAGATCGTTATCTGTTATAATTGAATCGAATTTAACCTTGCATATTGGAACTGAGGCAGCTCTTGCTCCGACTAGAGAACTAGTCAAGACCATCATGAACATCATCTTTGGTTGCACAAGAATATTAGAATCGAAGTTATATGCCATAAATATTCGATCCCAATCAGCTCCATGGTAACTGAAAGTAGAACTGTTCGGGTTAGAAATTATGTCTTGATGTATATCAAATGTTACTGGAAGGTGATCAAAACCGAAGTCAGCATGGATAACAAAGCTGACATGAAACAGTTAAGACCAAATTAATAGTTTAGGGATTTCTTGCTGAAGAAAAACTTGTTGGGCTGTTTGGATATTGAGTAGTGTAACAGCCTGAATTACCAATTGTCAATTAATATATTACCATTAAAATTACTTTGAGCATTATTCCATGTGTTTTGCATTAAAATCACCAATAAAGAAGAATTTCGACCTGGGTAAGTTACTGAAGGTCACCCATGAGAAAATTTGTGGTGCTGGACTACACATTGGAATGGTAAATATGCTGCTATAGGGTTAACTACCCCATTTCCGGCCTATTAAGCACAACCCGCACTTAGTCTTTTTAAATCTAGCGCAGTTTAGCACCAAACGGAATGTTATTTTTACTGATGTATTTACCTTTCCGTACGTATCGAATTCCAAATGTATTTACCTTTCCGTACGTACCGTTAAATTTGATAAAGAGAAACCAATCGTTGAGATATTGTCAAAAGTCTAACACTGCTTCTTGACGCTAAACTCGGCCTACGGATTCTAAACTCGGCCTAACGCATTGAAATGCCATTGAAACGCCAATGAATTCACTTCGGCCTATCGGATGAAGATAAAAATGGATTCGATCGGAGCGCTTCTTTTGTTTTTGGGATTAATAGGTGCAAACCGTCATATTATGCGTTCTCATGGATTTCGTTCCGTAGCTTATTAACTAAAGTATCGTACCAATCGCATAAGTGACTTGTTAACTCTGAAATCATGGATGTATTTGAAGTTTTCTGCTCGATAGGCCCAAAATGGGCGATTAGGCCGAAGTAGTTCCTACCCTAATAGTAAGTTGTCCAAATTTTGTTTCGACAGAAACAAACATTTCAAATACATTGGTTTCAAATGAAGAAAGAATTTGATGTTTGATATGCCTATGAATACTGATGGCAACGGCACCACCGGCTCCATCAAGGCGATCAATATGGTATTCGAAATAATTAGAGACTCTTTTTACCTTATTACCAGGTGTGAAAAAGTTTTCAGTTATTACAACGATTTGCACGTTATGAACCCTCAAAAAGTTAAAGAGCTCGTCTTCAATACTTTTAAGAGATCAAGCATTCCAATTCAAAATATTTAATGACTTAAAATCCATTACTGAATTTCAATGTCATGACAATTATAACTAATTTTACTTCAAAAATGGAGATAATTTTCAGCATATCGGTAATCGATTAACGATTTCTATAAAAATTCCATTTTACGAGCAGTAATGCTACCAGTCAAAATTTCGGTTAGAATTATGATGGCTGAATAAAATTTTGATTTCAATTTCTACCAGCTGCAATATCAGCATAGGTAACTCCAAGGGGGAAGACAGTATGACATGTAGGGTAGAGCTCTACTTCGTCGTAATCGCCCATTTCCGTTCTATCGATCAGAAAAGATCAATAATATCAATGATTTCACCGTGCACAAATCAATAATATGTTTGTTCCGATGCGTCAGTTCATTAGCTACAACATAAACCCGGTTAGAGCGCATTGTATGAATATTTACGCTCATTGTTCTCAAAACAAAAGAAGCGTTCCCTACTAATCCCCTTTTTCTACGTTTATCCGTAGGACGAAGAAAATCTAATGGCGTTTCAATGAGTTAGGACGGAATTGAAACTCGTAGAACGAATTTAGAATCAAGAAGCAGTATTAGATTTTAAACAATATCTCAACAATTTGTGGCTTTTTATCAAATCCAACGGTACGTCTGGAAAGGTGAATTAATTTAGAAGTCATCTTTGACAGAAAAATTCCATTTTTAGTTTAAACTCGTTCAGGAAAGAGAGGTAAAGTGCGCGTTGTGCTTAGTAGACACTATGAATCTGTTTGGATATGTTTCTATACTACATACTTTATCCCAGTCATGGTTGATCTAGTAGAATAAATCATCTGAACTCCAGGACGATTTGAAGAACCTTGAACATCTGAATTACACGGAAATAGATTATGCATGATCCACATAGACACTTTGAATCTGATTGGACATTTTTTGATACTGACATTATTGCAGACTTGGTTGATCTAGTAGAACAAATCAACTGATGTCCTGGACGATTTGGAAAACCTATAATTTCCGGTATACATAGTAATTAGACGCGAATGATCCGCAAAGTCACATATATACGATTCGGTTATGACTTGACAACGAAAAGTGCTAGGTTCATATTAGAAAAAAAAATATCATGAAAATGTCTCACCATTTGACAGACCCCAAGGAAAATCCGTTTAAATACAGAACCGCGACGTGACCAACAAGTGTGACTTATGAAACTCTAGTAATTTCTCGATTATGTGCAGGGTGTTTGGTTTGAATCCGTAAAAAAATTAGGAAACTAGAACTTGGCTCTTAACTACAACATTTAGGACAGCAAAATACGTCAGAGACGCAAAGGTAAATTTTCAATGAAAATGCATTAATTTTTTTTAAAATAATTTTTCATCAAATCGAGGCCGGTATTATTCAATAGAATCTCATAATGTAGGGGTGTTTTATTATGTCCACTAATTACTCAGAATTTATACTGTACATAAATAACTGAAGATGATACATTGTTATTTTTTATTTTTATTTTTTGAATGCTTACAAACGATACTCCTTTAGCTCAGTCGGTAAAGACGCAGCTTCAAAGCAAGTCCATGCTGGAGGCGACTGAGTTCTTTTCCCATCCGCTCTATTAATTTTTCGGGTTGGAAAATTTCTCTACTTTCTTGGGCATCGGATGGTACAGGCAAAGAAAGCTCTCAATTAAAATGTGTTAGTACTTCAAAGAACACTAAGTTGAGAGCAGGCAAAAATCTATTTAATATACTATAAGCAATAAGCTTGAAATGCCATGTAGTCGTATACAAATGGTATTTTTAGGTAATGAAAACATTTTTTTTTTATTAGTATGTGAAGTCGCGGATTTCTTTTAAGAAATCGTGGATTTCACGGATCAAATTTTGAAAATCTTGTAACAGCCCTGTAACTCTGAGCAACTATCTTGCTCTCTGTTAAAAGTTTTTAGTATCCCGTTTGTTTAGAAAGCGCCAGCCGTGCCGTGGAATTAACTCTTTTAGTTTTACGCGAAATTCTGACAAAAAAAAATCAATGAAAAACGTGATGGTGTTGAAAATTCTGTACTAATCCCAGCTGTGGATAAAATCATAGAAATGAAAATCATGGACAGAATTAAATGTATAACAATATTCACTAGTTCATCTGAGAAACTGCTAGCAAACTATACAACATGCAAGGACGTTGCTGCTCAGATACAAAATAAATGGAGCTTAGGTCTGTAGATGTATTTTAGTGTTCTAGCAACAGAGACTCTCGCCCGTGATCCCACAGTTATTTCCAAAAACAAAGTCAAAAACTACAATAAACTGGTAGAAAACGAGACCATTTTCTTAATTTAGATATTGCATCCATTTACTGGCGTCGCAAAGACTCACTTTTTACCCATTCAACAACTAACTTTGAAATCGTAGTTTAAAGCCATAGCTATATTGAAATCGGTCCCAAAATACATAAGGGTTTCTAGTTTCACAAATTTGTATCGATTTAAACCAATATAGTTGTTGAACAGGTAGATTGGATAGTCGCTACATTTATAGTCTGGCGGATAAAAATTCGATCTATCAGAAGTGAAAGCAATTCAATAGAATAAAGACCAACCATTGAAACGGTACTATTCAACTTTTATTAACAAAAGTTTGATAGTGCTTTCCTCGCCAACCAAACGCAAATTAACAGTAGGTTGCGTAGGTAAGCCTAGAGTGTAGAGAAAAGGCTATCCGAAGTTTTCTTAGCAAAAGCTTATGTGCTCTCTTCTATTGTTCGTCGTGATATGCTCAATTTGATCTGCTATTTGACAGCTGAATTGGTTCCCGATATTCTATCCGCCAGACTATAAATATAGCGACTATAATAGATTGAGGTTAGAGTTACGTCCCCAGACAACCAGAATGCACATATATTCAGAATTGTTTTCGTGATATACAAACATATATACAAACAAACAATTCGTATAGAATGCAAATCAATGGCTTATACGTACAAAAGTAGAGGCCATATAAGTGCATATTTTAGTTTAATTTTAAACGAGTTGATTTAACATCATATACGACTTAATCTGTAATAACAAATTCATTTTGAAAAGTCTTACGATGTAATCCGATTTAATTTGTGATACAGTACGACGGAAAAATGAGTCATCGCATATAGGTTGGAAATTTGCATTCTATACGATTTAACTTAACCATAATGCGAGGTATGCCATTCTTATATGCGATTTTGATTTAAACTGTAGCAATTTACGATACTCTCTGTACATTGTTATACGACTTCTGGTTGTCTGGGCCGTATCCATTGTTTTCCTTCTTTTATTGTTATTGTTTCGTTGTCGACGCTCCATTTATGTGCATCGTACTAAACAGAAATTTATACTACTTTTTTAACTGTGTAGTTAATAGACAAGTAAACTTTCAAATTATCCCGTAGCATTGAATTTCGGCACATACATTGGTTACCAATCCAGTAGTAAGAAGAATGCATAATTAAATCATATATTATCAGGATTTAAACTTCAGTTTCATCACTTTCATCATTCAATTGTGGCCTGTAGATGTGTATGTTCCTTTCGAGTTTCTCCATTTCAGTATCGATCCATCTTCTAAATTTTTGTATATTTGTGAAGAGATTCACCACGCCACTGTTGTTTGTACAATCTGCGTTACCGTTGCTGCTCACGTGCTGATTCCAAACAAATATACCCGCTTGGTAGAATTGGTGATCTTGCCCCGGAATCGTACAGATCAACGGTGAACCAACATCGAAGGGACAAATATGGTTCTCCGACTCTTCACGAGCGCATTGGAAACTTTCGTGCAAGGCGAATGAATGCATGGTCCGGCGGATTTGGTGTTGACAGTCCTTGTGATTTAGTTGGTCCATATCTACAACCTTCATCTTGGGTCGAATGGTTTCACTGGGATTTTCTCCAGTTCCTCCCCATCCAGTAAGAAAACACGTACTTTCGCTGAAGTCTGTATCAGCTTCTGGCAAACAGATCCGATTAACTGTTCGAGAGAAGTCTACCTGATCATCCAAAACCAGCAGAGCCAAGCTGGATACTCTCTTCGTCTGTTGAAACTGATGGTGTCTGATAACCTTTTCCACCTTACGCATCTGGAATGGTAAATTCAACTGTTAGTTCGAAGTTATTACTATAAATGTCAAACCGAATATTACCCATAATTCACATTGAATATAATGAAAGACTGTTAACTACTTCCTTAATAAAATGCAATTTTTTAATGTTTTTATCTTCCTGTTTACACCGGTGCCGGTGGTGTAGTGCAAAGCGTGATTACCTCTCAACCCAAAGGGCCTGGATTCAATCCCAGTCTTCGTCGATTTAATCTTTTCTTAATAACTCGTTAGAAATAACGTTTCTCGGTGCGTTTGCTGTTGCTTTGATAGCCAATACAACCTGTTACAACTCTGCATTGAAAAAAAATCGCTTAGCTGTAGCAATGCAAAGAGAAAATCGAAGAAGATCATCGATCATCGCGTAAACGCCCTTATGCATGCTTACTGTCGATATTATTATATAGTTTCATACATTGAGGCAAATGGACGTAAGAATTCCATAAGATCCACTTATGAATTTTAGCCACAAGGAATCAGTATGAATTTCACTGATTTGCCTTATGAAAAATAATGATGACAAAAAAATAGTTGTTGCAAATTTGAATGGTATACGCCTATAAGAGCTACCTCATGTTAGACGAAAATAATTCATAAGTCGCGCTTATGAAATTCATATGTGTCGTGCATAATTCAAGCCTTATGAAATTCTTAAGTCTATTTGCGTCAGTGTAGAATTCAGGGAGGGTCACGATTGATAGGTTCATCAGTTGGTGTACAAAGGCAATAAATAATTCTAACTTTTACCTTAGAATGACCAAAGACTGACATAATGTAAGAAAGGTAGCATTTTTCAAGAATTAATATTAAATATCATTATTTTTTTATAGTCTTAAGAGTGTTATTGGGTCATTTTTGACTTGTCTGGAGGTGAGATTTGAACTCGTGACTTTGGTGTGAGGGGTATGGATGTTAACCACTACGCCGGGGTCTCCCCCTAAATATCATTATAATTCTGCAACCTTTTAGGCATTGGTGAAAAGGAATCGGTATACGGTGATTCATACATTAAATAGGAGATATTACGTATGTTCGTCAATTAAAGCAGCGTCTGCACGTCTATAGGGATTATCACTGCGTTACGCACAATACGAATATGTTTGTTTGTTAACATTGTTTGTTGCTACCTGCTCTATACGGAATGGAATGGATCGGCAACCTCTTGCTGTTCGGCAGTCTCTCCACTTAAACTGTATGATAGACAGTTGTTCTATTATCGGCAACTCTAAAAGCATTTTGTGTTAGGTATGCTTCATTTCACGGTAACTCTGGTAAAAGGGTCATAAAATAAATCGACCTGAAGCTGAAACACTGAGGGATAGTTTAGATGCATTCAATAATGTGTTGTGGTATGAAAATACCCATTGACGTTTTTTTAGCTACCGGAAACAGTAAATAAATGCCGAAGCCGTCATTTACCCTACAGCATATAAAATAAAATGTAGGGGAAATGGCTCAAATGTTGGCCTATGGATCTAAGATTGGGCCCATCGCTAAAAAACTGCTATTTATCATTAGATATTAAAGGATTAGTAATTTCCATTTAATTCCACTACCTCAAGGTTGGATGGAAATTACTAATTAAATGGAAATTACTAATCCTTCTCTCTCTCTCTCTTTCTCTCTCTCTCTCTCTCACTCTCTCTCTCTCTCTCTCTCTCTCTCTCTCTCTCTCTCTCTCTCTCTCTCTCTCTCATTATACAGGTATTCCACTAAGACGCCCACATTCATAAGGATGCTATTTATCAATTTTATCTAGATGAACGCGTCATTGGGACGGTACTAATGAATATTTTTGGCCGCTATTGGAAATTTATTCGATTGCTGAATTTATGTATGGGCCCAAATTAGGGGCATTTATACCGACATTACATCCATTTTCCCTACTACTTCATTTCCAAAAATCAAAATTTCTAAAAAATGCTTTGTTCTAAAACAAAGTGACAGAGAAAAGGAAAAAAATCCCTCTGTTGAATATGAAACCTAAATAGGATGATTCAATGCTGCATAACATTATATCCAACAAGATAAGCAAGGTAGTTTCTGATGAAGCTGCTGTATTATTTTCTCGAAGACCGGTTTTTGGGGTGTACTGTACATGCTTTATCCTCTTCCATATTCATAACTCCAAAATTTGGCATTGGTAATGCTAAATAAAAAAACCTGAATTTATCCACCTCCGGGGAGATCTGACACTTCTTACGTATCCATATCATGTGTCGAATGATGGGTTTTGACCAGTGAAATGAACTGGAAACTTCCCCAGGTGTACCCAAAACATGTACGGTATCTAATGTGATCCTGGACTCATGATAAAACCACCATTGCACTTGATTTTTAATTCTCATGTGATATTACGTGCTGCATGGTGGGTTATGGTCCAATTCAGAAACTGGTCACTTCCCCTGGGGTACCCGGAGCATGTCTAGATGTGTTCAAAGTGGTCCTGGGCATTTGTTATAACCACCAGTGTACTTGTTTTTGAATTATCATGTGATTTAACCTTCCAGCAGTTGCATCAAAAAAAGCTACACGAGCAGTCGCGTCGCACAATGAGGCAGTGAACCCGGTAGCACGGCCAAAACCTCTAGCACCGTGAGTATACATTCTACAGATTTTCAGTCTTAAGCAAAGTTGCTCAGTTTATGAAGGGCCAACTTTTGGTGTTTTCTGATTAGTCCGTATACCTACCTGAAATGTTGTCCAAGACATCAAAGACCTCAGACCTAAAGTGAGACATCGGCCTAATTTTCCATAAAAAGGGTGTTTTATAGGCGAAAATTAAAAGCCTGGTGTACAGTACATTGTTGATAGAACTGAATAGTGGAGTACAGCATTCCCTCCATATATGTGGTGGGTGGTACCTGTCTCGGCTGTCAACTAATTGAACTGATTTTCTGTAGATCCTTAGTTCATGGTTGATATCAATCATGTACAAAAATTCAACGTAATTGGTTGAAGGACAAACAAGAAATATCGGTGGGTGGATGGTACCACCCACCGCATACATGGAGGGCATCCTCGGTTCATGCGGTCTCCAACAACATCCTCTGATGATGAATCCCAAATAATCGTAAGCGAATCTTACATCCTCGCTAGGGTGAATAATTTGTAATAATTGTAAAACTTTGAGCATTTTGATAAAGGACTGCGTATTATTCTTACAGTTCTAAGCAGAAAACGTTAAAAAATCGTGATAATTATTTTCTAGAGGAAATTTTTAACACCGATATCTCACGTTCAGTAAGTCTGAAGTATTTGATGAGTTGCAAAACATTTATCAAAACTATAAAATACATAACTTTGCCAAAAAAAAACCCCTTGTAGGACTCTCCGTTCAAAAGAAATATTCGAGTGCCACATAGGCGGCAGGAATACGAATTAAGGGGGTAGTCCACTCTGGAAATTTCAAAAAATCTTTTTGTTTTGGCTAAAAAATACTTTGGAATGTCTACTTTGACATAGACTTGACTGCAAGTCCGCAAGTGACATCGGAGTACCCGCCCGTTACCGGCGAAACGGCGTGTCTTAGTAGTTCCAACTTTAAACGCGATTATCTCTAAACGATGTTTTCAAAATTGGCGGGCGCTGTATTTTAGAAACGGCTCATTCGATTTAAACGGCGAATGAATTTTCGAGTTAAGTAAGCGGGACGTCTGGAGCTGGAACAACATTTTTTTTGTGGTTATTCTCTGATAGATGACTCAGTCTTGTACGTAGCCGATTTTCAAAAGAATCAAAAATGACTCAATCAAAGCTTTTATCTCCAATTTTAGGGTACAAAAACGGACTGTTTTTTTTTTCAAAACGTCGCCAAATTTTTATTTTTCAGCCAAATCAAAAACGGCTAAGTACAAGACCGGGTCATCTATCACAGAATAACCACACAAAAAATTGTTGTTCCAGCTCCAGTAGTGTGACCGCCAGACGTCCCGCCCCGCGACGACTCAGACGGGAGGTCTCCTGGGGAACCTGGTGCAGCGGCTACAGGAGACATCCAATCGCGCCAAAAAAAAATCTCAATTAAAGAGGACATTTCAATTGACAAAATCATGCATTTCTTTTTTTGAATTGATCGTTATTTACCCTCAAAAAAATCGTGAAAATGACCTATTTTTCATGCCGCCAGAGTGGACTACCCCCTTAACGACGTGTTCAGGGTCCAAACCATTTGTGGGATAGTTTACCCATCCGGGATACAGTTCGTTAATGGTATTTGTTTATTAAGGTTGCCACTTCGAATTTTTAATGGCACGAAACCCAACGAAACTATAAATACTATTTACTGCTTATGCAAATGCAAATTGGGAACCCAAAATTGGCAACTTCAAAATACCCCCCGTAGAGAATAGAAGAACTATGAAAGTGGTGATAATTTCATAATTTTCCACAAGGAGGTATGCGAGCGCAAGCTTAAAATGCATTTATTTTGCTAACAAATTATTTATAAAATATCTAGTTATTGATACATTAGTAGAAAACTCAAGGTAGTAGTAGGAGTATTGCCAGTATTGAGTAGTCAATAGACCTATAATATTTGAAAACATATTTTCTTATCTGATATCTAGTTGCCACCATAGCAGAAACCAGATTTAAAGAAAATTTAAAGTAAAATAAAAGTATTTTATGATTTTACTCCTATATCTCACTATGCAACATTTTGAAATCATCATCTCTTTCATAGTTTCCACGGTCGCTAACTTTCATTTGCCAATTGCAACAGGTATTTTTTTTTTCCCCCAAATCGATTTGGTATAATTTTGTTAAAAGACTTTGCTCGGGTCTGTTAACTTCTGGAGCGGGCCTGGATCATTCTGGAAGGGGCCAGGCACCCTAAGATTCCCCATTAGCTACGCCAATGGGTATCCCACGATTTTATTGACTACACCATCGAAAGGCTGCTTATATAATGAACAATAAGTACCACTTTTACTATATGTTTAGTATTACTTCTGCGTGAAGCCAACGATTTACATAACAGACATAACAGTGGTAATTTTTATATGATACACTCAAAAAATTCCACACGTCACCATCATGTGTCTCACACTTAATTTTGCGCTTATTGTGAAACACATCCATTTCATGTGTGAATCTTATGTTATGAATTATGCCTGAACACTATGGATTTGAATTGTGACACACTTGGATTCTATGTGCCTCATTTGGTGAAATCAATCGCTTTGCACATCATTGTTCAATATTCTACAATATTCTACTTTATCGACTTCTACTTAACCGACTCTAAAAATGAATCGACAATATATAAACAGAACTGCCAGACGCCAGAGCTTTCACATATCTTTTTAATGGGTCTAATTTGGGATTCGATCATGGACTGTTGGGGTATGCTGCTGCCGGAGTCTTCGTTCGACCTCACTGTGCCACGGTTGTTCTCATATATGAGGCGGGTTGATAGGATAAAGTCACAACTCTTGTTTTCGAGCAAGCAATTCACATCGCATTGCAATGCAAAACACTTTAAATCCATCTGTTTTGAACAGTAGTGTGATTCAATGTGCAATACACTTGAATAGATAGTGAAAGATTTTCAACATTTCAAAGTTTGAAACACTATAAATTAACGTGTATAACACATTGAACCAAGGTGAAACACACTTAAAGTGAATGTGATTGTGCATTTAGAAAATCAAGTGTTTAAACACTTTGATCAAACGTGTGGAATTTTTTGAGTGTAGATGAGGAGATGAAAGTATAGAATTGATAGTTCCGTTAGTGTACGGCAGTGTGAAAATTGTATATAGAGAGTAGAAAGCGAGCAAGGACAACGTTAGGAAGGTAGAAATCAGTTTAATAAGTACAAACATAACGGAAAAGCACTGCATATTAACCAGAGGGATGCAATGAACAAAATTTTGCATGTGCATCATAGATTCAATATGTCCAATGTTTTTATTTTTATTATTTTGATCATCATAAAACACCAGTATAGGAGTTTATTAGGCTTGCAATTAATCAGAACGTTACTCAATACTCATTGCCTTGACAAAATATTGAAAACAGATCGAAACGATATGCCGAAATTAGTTCTTTGCTCCAAATGAGCCCTTTGCATTGCACCAGTTTTGAGGTTAACCAACCAGAAAGTGCGTACCCAAATGCATAGTTCCAAAATCAATGTGAAGTAAATGGGTTATATGTTGGATTTTAATTGGCTGTCACAGCATACCCTTGATATAAACTTACCTGACGCTTTTCATCGACATCCTCTACATTCCAAACCCCAGCATCTACATACAAATTGGAAATATTATTTGAAGTCACACAATTTCCCGATGTGAGGACAATGAAACTATCAATCAATGTTCCCCCGCAGAGAAAAACGTTCTGAACTATTCCAAAATCGTTCTTATTTTTCGAATAAATCTCAACATTCCAAGGAAATTCTCCTCTATTCGAATCTCTAATACCGGTCACGCCGGTGCCTATCGACTGCTGAGTACCGCAGTCTGGCGTTAGCCATTCATCGATGGGTTCTTCCGTTGTAGTAGTGGTAGTAGTCGATGTTGTAGTAGTGGTAGTAGTCGATGTTGTAGTAGTTCTTGTTGGAATTGTTGTTGTTTGCCTCCTAGTGGTCATTATTGCGGGATTCCGAGAACTGGCTTCAGGGAAAACTATCGTGCCACTATTTTCATCGCCTTGTTTCAAGCAACAGACCTGCGCCTTATTGGTACACTCAGCTTTGGAAAAGTTTCTGAAAAAACAATAAACATGTATTTAAACTTTACAAACGCAATTTGAAAAAGTACTAAAAATCGATGTTACAATATGATATACATAAATGTAGCGTCACATATCACACACGTTTACATTCCATTGTGTTGATGATTTTACTAATTTTAAATTATATTGAAACTCAGATTATTATTTTTTTTCAGTACCCGATCCGAACCCGCTACGGGTCAAATTTAGGGTAAAAATACCCGCACGCGACCATCGCAACGGAACAGCTCTAAAATTCGTAGATTTTCTCTGAGGCATGCTTCTGATCAACGCAGTCCACTGAACCTGCCTGGTAAATAGTTAACCGAACCTCTCAGAAGTTCCCCGAGCATCATAGCTTCTTCAATATAACCCCCTGATTACCATAGAAAATCTCGGAAAAGTTCAATGACTTCCAGTTAAGAGAACCTCAGGCATATTTAAAAATTTAAGGTGCAAATTCTGGAATGTAAAGATCACTGAGTTTCTGGTAAATTTAGCAACATTCTGAGAACCACAAGAAACTATATGGTGGTGTAAAAATCCTCAGAGTTTTTCAGATAAGCTCAAGAGAAATTCAGAAAAGTTCAAAAGAGCTTCAGAAAGACTATTCTAATAATTTATTATTCTAATAAAATATCAAGGATCTTCATTTAAAAGTTCACAGAATTTTAAAGAAGTTCAGGGCACTTTGTAGTACTTCAGAATGGACTGGAGAAACTTAAAAAGGGCAGCAAGGAGACCCTCAGAATGTCAAAAATACAATGAAGTGTCGGTGGGGGATGCAGGTCGATAGGAATTGAACTGTTAATAGGTTAGCATCTTAAATCATGTTTCAGGAAAAGAAAAACTCTAAATCTTATCTTCGTTCACCATGTTTAACATAATTTGTTGTGTGATCTCAGAACAATCAAGGAGATCTCGACTTTTTTGTCATAGGACTAGGTTAAATGACGGCTTCAGTAATAGCACGGACAAACAGACATAACTCTTAGAAGAAAATTCTTCAAAAAATATCGTCAAGCGTATTTTGCAGGCACACCATCACCCTCTATTATGCACATTCCCAAGCATGATTTTGAAACCGGAGCATCCCTCGTTCATGATATTTTTTCACTAGTTGCTTTTCCCTTGTTATGTCACCGCGTCAGCTGTGTTGAATAAAAACAAAACAGATGGAAGTCAGTGATGTCGGTTCTACGAAATTTTCCGTAGATCTATAGAATTGATTAAATTTTGCAGAAATAAGAATCCGTTTGAGAAATTCTCAGAAGCTTAGTCCTTTTTAAGGATTTGTTTTGATTATTTAGTATGATTTTTCTTTTGCTGGAAACAATTTTTTAAACGTGGTAATGCATCACTAATGAATGCTTTTTTTTGCGGTGTGAGCGGTGGCTCATGACTTTATTGTGTACGTAGCAAACAATATGTATTCTGTATTCGTCAAATTAGTATGTGGTATAGTAATGACTCGATTTTGTCGGCCCGTCCGCGCATCAAACTTTTATCATTAAATAATTTCATAAAATCTAAATTCTAAATCATTCTCATGCATCTTCATGATAGGTGTAAAGAGCATACATTGGTGCAATTCATCTTCTTCTTCTCCGCATTTCAAGCTTATTGCATATCGCACTTCCACAGTTTTAATTGAGAGCTTTCGATGCCTGTACCATTTTTGCATTGGTATAATTGCGTGGCAAGTCCAATCATACTTCTATGCCCAGGGAAGTCGAGACATTTTCCAATTAGAAAAATTCCTAGACCGACCTGGGAATCGAACCCAGCCACCTCCAGCATGGTCTTGCTTTGTAGCTGCGCCTTTACCGACTGAGCTAAGGGAGGCCTTTGGTGCAATACAACCACTGAAAAAGCGCATGGGTAGAACATTAGAAAAGTTTTTCAAAAAGGCGGCTCACAAAATCGGGTTATTACTGTATATGTCTTCAGTGGGATGCCTTGGTCCCCTTATCATTCTCAAGAGCTGACATCTATTAATTTGACCTTAAAAAGAACTGACATCACTGATAAGTTCAAAATGTAGTGGCTTGCTTATCGCTTCAGTGTGGCGCCACCATGACAAATGCAAGCAATGTGATAGTGAGTGTTATGTCTGCTTGTCTGTGGTAATAGCTTTACCACAAAACAAAATCCTTCAGTGTTCAATGTTAGCTACACGCTAATTTGGATATACCCAATAATGGTTAAAAAAGAACCATTTTGAAGCAAAGTGGCGCATTAAAAGAGTAAATATTTTAACCATTAACGAGTATCTGTTATCCATTAATGATTAACTTTGACTCATTCATGAGTAACAGAATCTAAGTACTAGTAAGAAAAAGGATGTAATATTGGACTACATTTTCCATATCAGGATTTCCCTGCGCTTCGGTCAGAGAGCGTATAGGGCGTCGTTGTGCCAATTTGGTCGTGGTACATTTCGGGTATGAGAGAGTAATTGCAGTTGGAAAAGTGCAGTGCAGATTACCCGAAGTTGCGATAGTGAAGGTATGATCACAGTCAAGCAGACATAACACTCTTAAAACGTTTATCGAAGTCGCTTTTAACTGTCAATTTAAATGTTTCTTAGTTGGTAGTACCGCCACTTGTTGTGCACATAATCAATTACCTAGCATTTGACGTTTACACACTACAATCATCTGTTGAGTGTATTGCCCATCAAAGTATATACTATAGATGGCGTTCAATGTGTTGTGTATGTATGTCTGTGATATAACATCGAGGTAACGTAAGGATAAAATCAAAACATTTAGAAATATAACACATCACTTTCAGAAATACTTCACTTCGCAACCGATGAACCATTCTGACGGCCATATGAGTACCCAAGTAACCATATAGTCACAATATAGCTTGTATATTCTTACTTTGCTGGAGTATGGTTAGTTGGGGAATCTGATGAAACTGTCATTTCTTACTGATCCCTTTCGTATTTCTTTCACTCTCTTTTCACACACGAGCACTCGGTGGACCAGCGACTTTGGACGTGAGCCTCGTCCCAGATCACCATGGCAAGATAGTGGACATATAATTAATATAGTGGACATGAAACCGACCACACCAACCAACGAGGAAGGAGTCAACATCGAACCTGGAACGGAAATTAGTGCGGATTTATCTCCCTAAGAAAACAAGAAAACCCCGGAAAAGGCGGAATCATGTTAGAACCAACCAAGGGCGATCTACGGAAGGAAAATGCCGGCGAAGCACGGAATGAAATACGAAGCGTTAAAGAAACACTCCAAGGGATTCCAAAAGAAGCAATTAACGGTGGCGGCTAAATTAAATATCAAAATTACACTAAATACATGCCAGGTTTGAAAATAATATTTTCGAACCTGGAAGTGTGTATATATAACCAATATCCATTTGATAACGGTGATGCATACATGCGGGGCTTATTGTGAGTGAAAGTAACCTCGGAATGGGTGTGACTCTCCAGTCACTCTGAAATGGGTTGCTGGATCTGCAATAGAGCTATCACCTTCTAACTCCGGGACTAAAGCTGTCTACAATGACCATAAATGCGGCATTGTAGAGAGAGTTCCTCCATAATAACAGTGGCGGCCAGTGGGGCTTAGATGGAATACACACACTCACACACACGCACACACTCACACACACACACACACACACACACACACACACACACACACACACACACACACACACACACACACACACACACACACACACACACACACACGCACACACACACACACACAGACACACACACACACTGACACACACACAGACACACACACACACACACACACACACACACACACACACACACACACACACACACACACACACACACAAACACACACACACACACACATGGGTTACAAATGGTGAGTTGACAACCTAGCTCTGGTTCTCACAAGTTCTTACCTCACACCTCCCCGTGGTGTAGCCTGGGCAATGCTGTCCTTCTGACAATAGCAAAGTGAGGGGGTGCGACGCGAACACTGGCGCGGTTACCATAACACGGCGATAGAGGAAATACTTCGTCAACCCGCAGGAGTGCCAACCGGCACATTAGGATCGACGCCAGTAAGATCCTTATTACGGTATACTGGATACGGCATGGAACTATGGACACGACACGGCATAATGGATTGGATACCACGCTACAGGGCTGACAGTCGTGCTATTCTGCTCCCTAAGTAAAGAAGGGTGACACCTTCTTGAAATGGCGAGTGGGCTATTAGTGCGGCTGCCCCCGTCCTGGTAAAACCTTGGCAGGCCTCCGGATACGTTCAAAACTCGTCACCAATTGGTGATTGGTGAGTAGTAGGCTCAGATGTAACATTCCTGACTTACGCCGATCTGGCTCTGAACACGGCCCCCATGAAGGACCGTGTCAACCATAGCATGGCCTCCCTGCTTGCATAGATAACCATGAGATCATGATAGGAGACTACATACAACGAGTGGAGATAACGGCCCGGAGAATGGAGGAAATCGGAGAAAAAAACAAAAAAGATGAAAATGAAAAAACCAAAAGAAATATGAAGGACGACGGCAAGACGCCAGATAGTGAAAACGGAGGAGCGTCAAACCAGGTGACCACAGCGAGTTCCAGTAGCAGCATACTCCAAGTGGATCAGCATGGATCCCAAGGAGAGCAGCTAGGTGCGGTGCCATGCCAAATATTCACACCGAAATCCAGCAGTGGCAAGCAACAAGAACCGCAGTTTGGGAGAACCAAAATGACAGAGGTCAGGAGGAAGATCGATGATCTATATGTGTTCGTAAAGGATAAAAACAACGTACACAAAGAGATCAAGCAACTTGTGACTGGAATCAAATCCGGCATAATAGTGGCAGATCGGGAATTCCATGAGTGCAGAAAAAGAGCCGAAAATGCCGAAAAGGCTCTCCGGGAGGCCAAGGAGGGCATAAGTCTGGCTGAAGCACATGAGACGCCGAAGGGACCCACAAATCCACGTCCTGAAAAGAGAGATAGGGACACGCCAGGAGATGAGGAGGAGCCCAAAAAACGCAAGGACGAGGAAGGCATCAAGGAGATGGGAGAAAATGGTGGGTGGCGTAAAGTCGAGGACCAGAAGGAGAGGAAGAAAAAACAGAAAGAAGATGAAGTGAGGAAGAAGGAAGAGGAAGCGAGGAAAAAGGAAGAGAAGAAGAAGGAAGACAGGAAGAATAAGGAGAAGTCTAGGCCTCGTAGGGAGAAAAGCAAGGGTGACGCTCTGGTTGTTGAGGCGAAGGACAAAACGTCCTACGCAGCACTCCTCCGGAAAGTGAGAGAGGATCCGGAGTTGAAACAACTAGGCGAGAACGTGGTGAAAACCAGGCGAACCCAGAAAGGCGAGATGCTATTTGAGCTGAAAAGGGATCCTACGGTTAAGAGCGCAGCTTTTAAGGAGCTCGTCGAAAAATCTCTTGGTGAGACGGCGAACGTAATAGCCTTATCCCAGGAGTCAGTGGTCGAGCGCAGGGATCTGGACGAGATCACAACAGAAGACGAGTTGAAGAGTGCGCTGAAGGTGCAATGCAACCTGGGAGACGTACCGATGGCAATTCGGTTGAGGAAGGCGTATGGTGGCACGCAGACGGCGTTGATACGACATCCTTCGGACGCAGCTAACGAGCTGCTGAAGACAGGCCGAATCAAGGTTGGGTGGTCAGTGTGCCCGTTGAAAGCTAATCCTCGGGTATCTAAGAAAATGGAGAGATGCTACAAATGCATGGGCTTCGGTCACCAGGCGAGAAACTGCAAAGGCCCAGACAGATCTGATCTGTGCAGGAAATGCGGAGAGAAGGGGCACGTTGCAAAAGACTGCACAAAGCAACCGAGGTGCATGCTCTGCAAAAAGGAGGACGGAAACGGCCATGTGACGGGAAGTTTCAGGTGCCCAGAGTTCAAGAAGGCGATGGTGGGCCAGCAATAATGAAGGTAACCCAAATAAACCTCAATCATTGCGACATTGCTCAGCAACTGTTGTGGCAGTCGACAACAGAAACAAAGTGCGACGTTGCAATCATTGCGGAACCATCGAGTCCCTCCCGATAACGGTAACTGGGTGGCGGATAGAGCTGGGATGGCTTCTATACAAGTTATCGGCAGATACCCCATTCAAGAAGTGGTTGCGAGCTCATACGAAGGTTTCATGATCGCCAAAATCAGCGGAATCTTCATGTGTAGTTGTTACGCACTTTTCGCGCTAGTTGTCTCAGAGCCAGAAGACGTGTTCAGAGAGCAAGAACGGAAGCAGACAGAGAAGAACGAAGAGAACTGTTTCGAGTGACCAGGGCCGCACTTAAACGAGAGATTAAGCAACACCCGTTCCCACACAGTAAAAAAAAATTAATATCACATCAAAGTGGATGCACTTCAATCGTGTTGAAAATATGGTGTATTATTACTTGCCAAAAAGGACAAAATTACCATTAATACAGTGCATGAACTGACATTACGCTACTTTTACTGCATTTGTTTATTTTGTGGCTATAAAAAATACATGAGATTTTCGACATTATTGAAGTGCATCCTCTTGGATGTAATTAACAAAATTTATTTTTTGCTGTGCAGCATAACAGTTCTTCTTTTGACAACTAATAAGCTTATTTGGTTCGTTGCACTTAAAAAAGTATCATTTTATTGAACGGCAGGTACACAGCAAAAAATAATTTTGATATCACATCAAAGTGGATGCACTACAATCATGTCGAAAATTTCATGTAATTTTTATGACCACATAAATAAACAAATGCAGTAAAAGCAGCGTAATGTCGGTTCATGCATTGTATTAATGATAATTTTGTCCTTTTTAGCAAGTAATATTACACCATATTTTCGACATGATTGTAGTGCATCCACTTTGACGTGATATCAAAATTATTTTTTTGCTGTGTACAACAATAAAGCGTTTAACTTAAAATTATCAACCAGCTTCCAATGTTGAATGCACATGCGGAACATGTACATCTCATGGAACTCAGTATGAACAAATCACGATATTATATAGTTAAGACCAGTATTGCAGCTAATCATATATCTTACTCAATTCCACATTCACCACGCTCCACACAGGTTGCAGATCGCAAATCACAGCTTCTAGAGAAAAAATCTGCAATTGGGTCGACTGTAGTTTTTCGATAATAAATTTGTACTCCATTTTGGGGATACCCAAGCACGCAACAAAAAAGCAAAATTACCACAGGCACTGTCTTCCGATTCATTGCTAGTATTAGACTACCGCAGCGTGTGGCTATAGAAGAGCAAACTGATACTTTAGTCTGTTTATAGTCTGCCAATCAGTAGCGGGAATTCCCCGGTTTTTTCAAAAGAAGTACACAAAAATACATAAGCGGCTGCACTATCATGCCTTCTCTCATTATTAATTCAACTATCAGGATGAAAATTGACTTTCAAAATATTGATATGGAATTCATTATGTTTTATATGTAACGACTCTTTGCAAATTAATAATGATAATAATATTGCTGAATGTATCTGAAAGTGGAATGCAAAAAGTGTGATAAAAGTGCACGTTTCCGTTAAATTATTTTGGTATCTTCGGAGCACTTATTGCTTGCATCATAAGGCATAAGTGCACTGAGGACACCAAGACGATTAGTAGGAAACTCGCATTTTTATCACACACGGAAAGCGCCATATTGGATTCCAAAAAGAGTCAGACATCGATTTCTGTTCTGAAAATATGCATTGTGGGATTTATGTTAATTTGAAGTTGGCATCTTGGATTCCAAAATAAGCAGACAACGATTTCCTGCCCCCACATGTCGTCTTCATTCGAGAAGTAAATAAACTGGAAGCCTCGTTTTTAAAATTTTAAATGATGAGGCAATGAATTCCAGCCTCTACCTGTCGTTCGCATGCCGAAAATATGCTTAATGTAAGGTATTTGAGGGTTTCCCATAAACCGAAAGTCCCCATCTGAAATTATACAATAGCTAGGCAACGATTTCCTGCCTCTATATGTCGTTCCTATTCCGAAAATATGGATATTGTATGTGGGTGTATGGTGTATGGTTGTATGGTGTTTGAGGGTTTTCAGTAAACCGGAACACACCATTTTGGATTCCCAAATGATTATACATCGATTTCTGGCCTCTACATATCATTTCTATTCAGGTGACATTCATTGTCCCCTAAAACATATAAAAAAATTAAAGAAGCAAAACAAATAGTTGATTTTTATTCATGGTGTACTTTCGTAAACAAAAAATATTGTTGAGCATAAAATCGTGGGTCCATCCAATCTTATTCGCATGAAAGAGTTTCAGGGTCACATCGTTTGCTCGTCGTATGAACTGAACAAGTGCAGACACAAATTGATGAAATTTCGTCGCTTGTTTTTCGGTATGTTTCTTTTATCTTTCGTTTCCCTATCAGTTTTTTGTTGTAGTAGGAAAAAAACGTACGAATTCGCTGTTGAACGTGGAAAATCTCAATTGGAACGGAACAAAGTACATATACTCAATCCTGGATCGAGAACATAGTTGATTTCTGCCGGAGACGTCAGTCCGCTTGAAAAACCTCATGTTGCCAGACATGAACTACTATCGTTTTCACTTTTCTCTTCTCCTTTTTTTTAAATTTGATTGCAATAATATTGTTAGTATGAGTTTTTAATTGTTCCTTCTCCTAAACTCGAAATGTGACCAAATTTTGTGCAACTTGTTTCAATAAATTGGAAAAAAACATCGAAAAAATATGGAGGCTTAATTGGATCTGTTCCTGTTTTACGAATTTAATGAAGACTTAAGCGCTTTATCGTAGCTTTATGTCTCCGGGTTTTTAATATCGTCTATCAGAACACAGAAAAAAAAATGTTGAATATTACATCCAAACTGCTGCAACCAGGTCAATCCATCGGTTGTGTAATATAACGTTGTACGATGTACATCGATTTTGCGAACAAAATTACATCCATTGATGTAATATTGTATCTGCTTTTTGCTATTACATCATTATTTCATACATCAGCTCGAATTACATTGATCGATATTACTTTTTTTGCTGTGAAGTGGCTTATTCATCTGGTATTTATGGTTATAGCATCAATTTGATGCAGTATGTTGAGATATGAGAAACTCAGCTGCCTTAAACAGTCGTTCTTGCTTACTGAGCAGAAACTCGTGGAATCCATCCCAGGTCCTTTCATATCGAGGAGATTTAAAGTCACGGAATTAGTGAGCGCTTAGCGAATAGTGCTTAAACATGAGGCGAGACATCACACGAATGTTCTTAAAAGCATCATGGGAAATTCAGAATGATGATTCAGAAAACATCGGGCCTGTTTAAATCGAAGATTTAAACACGATGCTTCAGAATCCAATAAATGGATGAAAAGTCCCGATTTTGGTAATTATATGATTGGTTGATCGTTGGGAGCATCAAAGCTAGAATGTTTAAGTGATACTCCATTTTCTTCTGATGGTTGGGGCATGAGCACTAACTCTTGTCCTGATTACTGGAAAATCCTGATTCCCTAGTATGAAGTTGTCATGACTAGGGTGCGGTGGTAGATCTTATACCAGTAACGCACCACAAAAAGGTAATCTCCCAACGTTACTGGTTTGAAAAGATAAAAATTTACAAAATGGAACGAACTCACCAAGTTTAGCCAATTGAACCTGAAGGCTGCCTGACATGTGTTGATGTAGAAGTCAAAATGGTAGACGAAGCTTAACGAGGATCAACATGAACTAAACCGGTGTATGGTAGTTGCGCGGAATGGCTTCCTTCGATTTGAGATAAACAAATGTTCGGATGTATGTAGTGGATTTTTGATGTGCATTGGCAAGCCTTTTCGTGGCCAATAATTCAACGCTGCGACTCAACGAATGATGGGACGAATTATGGGTAGTCTCGTGGAGGTTCTACTTGGCTTCGGAACAGTTCTCAGCGGTAAATAATGGGGACCTATCATGAGGAATTAGAAATTGTCAACTAGGCCTGCTTATGGCTAGATCAGCAACCGATTATAGATATAAAAAAAACTCAACGGAAATAAAACAAACGTCAGGTTTGAACACACGCACAGCCTGCTGTGTGTGAATCATTCCTGTTGAGAAAATTAAAACATACTATGAATTAATGTTTAAAAAGATAACCATTCAGGCGTTTTATTACATTGATTTTAGGTTGATCCTCCTAAAGTATCGCTAAATCTGACAAAGAATCATGCACTTGTTACGTAAGATTTTAAAAATAAATTTTCTTGCGTCTTGATGTTCGATGTTAGATCTTACTAAGGGACGCACACAAGATATATTAAGAACAAATGAATTTTCAAAACCTTCGTTTCACTTGCGGTCCCACTTAACCCACGGTCTCTGACTATGTGGGGTAAGTGGGGTTTATAATTATTCTATTTAAAATCATCACAATGTCGCAGTTTTCCATTAGAAGTGAAAATGAGCTATTCTGATTGCCATATAAACATTTCAGCAATATTTAATATGTTGTCTTATTTCTATATACAAAGACTTAATTCCAAAAATACTCGTATTGATGGGTATTTGACAGTATTTCGCACTTTTATGAAACCGGAAGCCACCATCTTGGATTTCAAAATGGCGTCAGATATCGATTTCTGGCCTTTAGACATCACCCTGATTCCAAAAATACTCATATTGATGGGTGTTTGTCAGTATTTCCCATTTTTGTAAAACCGGAAACCACCATCTTGGATTTAAAAAAAAAAAACCTGCAGATTATTTCAATGCGATATAACGAGTTGCTTCCTTGATGGTTGTCAACGATATGGCTGAATGAAGGGTGAAGCTAATGTCTGACTTATCAAGAAATCCACCCCAGACCTAGTTCAACAGCAATATTTGCTTCAAAGATAGAACAGAATTGTAGAATATATTAAAATGAAATATAATCATCAATGACATTTGTGTGAATATATCTGAAATTGTTTATTGCACCAAAAGAGTAGGGAAGAGAATGGTAATACTCGCTTTACAACTGCTCTTATGAGATTAAACAACTGTTTTTCAATAACCCATCCGAACAACTCGAGAGATGGGAAACTCTGAAGTTATTTTAGACTTTATTTTTACTTTCATTCATATAAGTGAGTGCCGGAAAGCATACAGTAGTTGAGGGAGGAGAGGGGTTTCAGAAGTTGGGACCGGCCATGTATTAGGTGTATTTCAAAACACGCTCGGAGGGGGAAGGGGGGTTAATTGGTCAAAAATATACGTAATTTATGGATGGTCCTAATTTTACTCCCAAGGCTGTGTCGCAATGGGTGAGTTTAATTTAACTCGTGGTTAAAAGTGACAGATGAGTTATCGAATAACCCTGCTATACGAGCGTGGTTATTCCGGACCGACAAGAAGTTAAATTTTAGTAACCGTGACTGAGTTCTGTTTGAAAACTGATCAATTTCCGGCATTTTCGAACATTGAAAATAACTTACGAAATGTCACGTTTAACCACGAGTTAAATTTAACTCGGCAATTGGTACACAAACCAAGAAGTATTTCTCGATTACTTTTTCGAAGGAACGTATCAGCTTTTGTAAACAACGCATTTGATCGTTGATTTGGCGTAACTGGTAGCTCGCCCACGCATGCTAGTACTACCATCAGATAGGGGAATTTTTTTTCCAACCTGTTAGCGGTGTTAGTATGTGGGGCGAGCTGCTAGTTATGCCAAACCGACGATAAAATGCATTGTTTACAAAAGCTGATATGTACTTCCGAAAAGTAATCGAGATTTGTAGTTATCATTCAGGCAAGGAGCGCTTGCTCCATCGAGGCGACGCCGCTACCAGCAGCCAATGATCTCGACGGAAACGACGGGCAAAGTTCGAGGTGCAGAACTCGAACTCTGCGCGCTTGACAGGAACCGCCTTCCTACTGCTGCTACTGCTACCTGTTCACCCGCCGTCCGAAGCGAAAATGAGCTGAGGCACATTAGCAGCGCTGTTTTATAGCTTTTCAGATTCAAGCAGCACGATGTGCAACCAAATTGTACTTGATTATGAGGACTGGGTTTGGGGAGAACGTTTATTTCATGAAAACAGTGATAAAATTATCACTTTTTATTTGTCCATTTTTAAAACAGTTTTTATGAAAAATTGAAAAAAAAAATTATTGCAACAGCTTACGAAAGGTATTTCCTATCGATAGGTGTATTCGGATTTTAATTTCATCTATAAATGACAAAGCTTATAGCGTTCAAAAAATTACACCTTTTCGTGACGGTCGCAATTTTAGATTTTCGATTTACCCCCAGTACCTTCCCGTAAGACGTAGTCTACGTCAATATAATCATGATGACCCATTCTACTGGGTATGGTTCATAGAAAAAACGACCAACTAAGTTTTTTTCCGAGGAGAATTCGATACCTAGCTGAATAGCCCAAGTAGACAAATTGTCTAAAGGGTCCTTGCAAGTCGATCCCTTTGGACCATGTGACAGACACTACGCCATCGTCTGCAAGTTGTCTTAAAGTGCAGTTGTCGCTAAAACAATTATCAATTTCACTGACGTAAAGTGATACAAAAGGAGGCTTCAACATGAGCCCTGGGGTAGATCCATGTAGCTAAATCGAAAAGTTGTAGAGTTTCCATGAAAAAAGCTCATATGTTTCTCTGACAGCAAATTGTACTAAAGGTTATTAATTAATGGAGAAAGGTCACGTGCGTGAAAGGACTTTAACCGATACTGACTCAAAAACCTCTTGATATCCATGAAAACAGAAGCCATTTGCTCTTTTTTAGATCAAGCCAACTGAATTTCTGTTGTAAGCAACGTGCGACAGACGTTCTTTCGTACCCCTACGAAATTCAAATTGAGTATCTGAGAGTAGGTGGTTCATCTCATTTTCTCCAACAATTTTCGTATGCACGACAACTCTCACCCACCTCCAATCATCCGGAACAATATTGAGCCCTAGGAGTTGACCAGACAAGTTCAACATGTGCCCCGTCTGGGAGGATCTTTAACAAGTAGAAGTTAACCCTATCAGCCCCAGAGCCGAATTGCCACACGGAGGCAGGGTGAGTGAAATCATCGATAACCATCGATAAAAAAAGGCTGGCTGCTCTCGTCAACCGAACTCGTCGTTTTGCAAGGAATCAACTGTGCCGGCACGGAATCAGGCCGTACTTTTCACGCGAACTTGAGAATCCCACAATCCGAGTATTCCTCTCTCTTGTTGTTTGAAGACCAGTTACGCATCCTTCGAGCCGCGTTCCAAAGAGCATTCATCGATGTTTCGTGTGATAATCCGCCCACGAACTGCCACCAGTATCCGCGTTTCTTGGACTTGATGAGGCTCTTTAGTTCGCGTTCAAGAGCCGAGTACGCTTCGAAATGCACAGGTGTTGCAGGTTTCCGGATAAGCTTAAACGTGTCGGACTATTTACGATAAACATCAGTGCATTGCTGGCCCCACCAAGGAGTTTGAGCTTGAAGCGCGCTATCCAAGATAAGATTATAGAGGAAATTTTAATCCTCCAACAGTGGAAGCCCTTCTACCGACGTTAGTGCTTCATCTATCACAGTCTTGAACTTTGCCCAATCGATATTTCCGACGGCTTGAACCCACTGTCGGTTCCGACGGCTTGAACCCACTGGCAACTGAAACTTTGATCGGCATGTGATCACTACCGTGGGGATCTTGGATCACATTCCACGTGCAACCCAACGATATTGATTAAGAGCAAAGGGTGAGGTCTAATTTGTTACTGTTACTTCTCCATTGTTAATAATTGTCATATTGAAGTTGTCACAGACGTATATTTATCAAAGTAGAACGTATCGCAAAATTGAGCGTACACTCTAGTGGATTTTTTTAAACATTGTAAATAGATATATTATTTTTTTAAATATTGGCTGGCGGTTGAACCGATATTTATTGATTTTTCGCTATAGTTTTGGACTTTATTGGAAGAACCTGTATGAAGTTAGATTTATTTTAGTAAAACGCTCGATTTTCAACTTTTTACGTATTACACGAATTTAAAAAAAAAAATAGTGAAATATTAATGATTTTTATTATGACTAGAAATGAGCAAAATTTCAAGAAGTTTAGTTCATTGTATTTTAAGATACTAAGGTATTTCAAGAAAAAAGCGTTTTTCTCAAATAGCTCTTACTTTTCATAAACGCAACCAAATAAATCCAATACTGTACCAATAATTTATAAATGTATGATGATTCAGCAACCAAAACTTCAGAAACGTTTCTCTTTAAATTGGGCTTTTACAGCTGTGTTTCTTAAACTTAAGGACATCTGTACGCCCAATTTTGTATATATCAAAGTAGAACGGTTATAGAGGTAGAGGTCATATTTCAAAGTAGAACGATTGTCTTCATACAGTTCTCCCCAGCCTTTACCGTTGGAATTAAAATCGTCCATAATCAACCGTGAAGAAGGAAGTACCAATCATATATCTGAAAGTTGTTTGTGATTAACCGAGACTGTAGGAGGAATATATACAAAAGCAATTCAAATGTTCTTAGCTTCAATAATAGCCTGACATGTGACAACTTCTATACATGGGAATTGTAAAATATTAATTCTATAGAAGGAATGACACTTTTCAATTCCCAAAAGTACCCCTTCTCCACGCGATTCCTTATGACCAGTCGAATAATGTTAAAATAATAAAAAAAGGTCGATCGATATATGAAGAGAGCCAAGAGCAAATGCATCACAATCATTATTGTGAACAAAAAACTTGAAAGATATCGAACAGTGATCAAATCCCTGACGTCGTTTGGAAAATTATCCATCGAAGAAGATGATTGCTGCAAGGAGGGGCCATTCAATGTAATTTGCTCCAAGAGGGTCTTTACAGTAGGAAGCATTGCCAGAACAATGCTTTTCAGAGGATCAGAAATATCGAGATACTTGAGGATACCGTCCACAATGTCAGCAAATGAAAACCGCACCTACGTTAAAACATGAATGTAAATAAATATCAATTTGGAATAAAGAGCTAAAAAATGGTCGAAGAAAAGGTCTTTATTCCTGATGTGAGAACCATGAACCAATATGGCCTGTGATATCAGAATACAGAAACAGTAAATAATTGCGTATAATCTTATTGTTCATCCTCGTCTTCTTCTTGTTTGGTGTATGTGTAATAATGAGCATGCAAACCTTCCTGCTCCATTTCATTATCAATCCAGTCCCTAAAGAATGCGATGTCAGTGTAAGCGGCAGGCATGCCAGCCCTACCGCATCCTACGCCCCAGGACACCATACCAACGGCGTAATAACGAAATTCAAAATCATGTGGAACTAGATGCACTATCGGTGATCCTGCATCCCCTATACACGTGTCAAAACCAGCCACACCCCCTGCACAAATGAAGCTGCGATGTAATTTGAAGCTACGATTTTTCGTACCCTTGCGAAGAACTCGTTCACATTCAGATCGTTGGACGTACTGCAAGTCGATGCTCTTGAGAATTTGTTGATAGTTTGTGCGATCCTGTGGAGTGGAACCCCAGCCAGTAGCAATAACTTCACCGTTATCGATGACAAAGTTCTGAGGAGGAAGACAAACGGTGTTTATTGTTGAGCCTTGATCAAACTTGTCATCCAAGAACAATAGAGCAATATTGTTAACCAAAGTACTGGCTTTAAAATCGGGATGACTTTTGATCTTGGTCACCCGGCGTTCTTCATGGGGAATCGGTTCTCTGGTGCTGCCCATGTCCCATTCACCAGCACGAACAATCAACTTGTCTGGTGTCCTTCTGAACGATTTAACACATTCGGCGGAAGTTAGCACTATTTCTGGATCGATCAGTGAGCCACCACAGGTAAATCTAACCTTACCCTTTTCATTGACCATAATGGCAACCATCCAAGGGAACTCACCGAACTGCGATTCACCATCCTCACGACCGGTCGTTCCGAACTTTACTCCGTTCTCATTCCGATATCCGCAATCTTTTATAAGTTCATCTGACCCGGAACCTCCCTCCACTCCCTGTGCAGTAGTTAAACAACATACTTCATTTTGTTCACAGTCGTAAGCTGGGAAATCAGTTTTCTTATGACAATTTCCATCCAGCATACATTTTCCACCAATAGAATTACATGGAACTGGATCAACCGGAGGCTCTGTTTCTAGTTCGAATTGGATTTCTGCACAACAATTTAAACCTCCACAATTATTATTTGTATCGCTGTATTTTTTTCCTAGGCAACCTTCGATCCTACACGACCCTTTTCTATTGTAACATGCCTGAAATGATATAGCTTATTGTAGACAAATATTCATGAACTTACATTAAAGAAACTACCTTTCCTTCATTTCCAATATCCACAGGTTTACGAGTGGTTCTGGTGAAAACGCTTGTACTCGGAGTTGTAGTTGGAAGCGTTGCACAACATGCTAGACCTCCACATTCCTTATTTCGGTCTCTGTATGTAGTTCCCCTACACTGCTTTTTTGGAGTACATTTTCCGCTTCCTCCAGAACATGTCTAAAATGAACCTCCATCAAAATAAGTATCAGCAAACGTAAGTCTTGGAAATTACCTTGTTAATGAATTGATCTCTCCCATCTGTTGAATCTTGCATGCAGCATACATATCCTGATTCTTCGCATTGCGAAATTCTTAAATCCATTTGCAAAGAAGAAGAATTTGGACATGAATTCCCCTGTATGCAAGTACCACCAACTTCACTGCATGGATCAGTACCCTTTACTTTGTCCCTGGGACAGCAGGTCTGATTCCTTCCACTACAAACCGATACCCGCTTTTGTATTATATTAACACCGTCAGGTTTAACCAAACATTGATCATCTGATACACAAACAGTGTGATCATCGCATGCTTCGTACTGTTCGATTGAATTGATCTGAACGTCACTAGATACTGTCGATGGCGCCTTAATCATGCTTTCAGGACAACACGTGTATCCAGGAGAACTACAATCTGATGATCTAGATTCCAATAAACCGTCACCATCGGGATTTACTTTACATTGATCGTGTGGTACGCAAAGACTATCCAAATCGCATCTTTCCTTATCAGTTTGGTTTGACTCTTTACTCTGCAGTTGAAAATCAGATCTTAATGTGCGAATTAATTAAACTTTTATTATTGTAACATACCTTTCCAATTTTGTCGTTTGGACAACATTTGTAACCACTCCAATCACATTCATCGGTTTGTTTGAATTTCTTGTTATTGTGCTCATCCAGGTTGGCACCACAATTACTAGCTGGAACACATGTTCCTGTATTTTCCAAACATGGCTGAAAGAATAATGTCCGTACATGAAATTTTCGTTAAATTTTTGACATTCTCTATCGTTGAAAACTCAGCATCAAAAACATTATCTGTTATGTGTGACTTTTTGGGTTCTGCTTAGGTAATACCTTCTTTTATCAAACTATGTGGCGAAAATAGCAGAAAATGTGTTTGGATTGTTGTGGTAATCAACAGAGAAAGTCAATTAAGACAATTGATAAAGTTTGATTTGACCTATCGAAAAGTGACGCTAGTGTTCTTCTTTGTTTTACTAGAAGCTTTATTGACGCATTTTTCTGAGATCAACGGGCTTTATTATTCTTTAGAGTTTACATAAAAGTTTACATAATTTACAAACACAGAAAAAAAATCCAGGCTTTAATATATGCATTTGGGCCTCCTTTAACTCAGTCGGTAAAGGCGCAGCTATTAAGTAGGACTGGATTTAATTCCCGGCAGGACTAATTTTTATTTTACTTCCCTGATTATTGTGAATAATTGTTCTTTCCATACAATATACTATAACCGGTACAGGCATTACTGCTCCGAAAATGGATTTTTTACAGAAATCATTAATTGAAATGATTACTGCAATGCTTAAATCTTACTCCATGTCTGTTGCTATTCAAACTGGAGTAAAATTTGCAAACAATATCGTCATGATTTTGAAATTCAGTTTTGGATTTTAAATCATTATATATGCTAAATTGGAATGCTCGCCCTCTTAAAGATAATGAAGATGAACTATCTAACTTTTTGAGAGTTCATAACGTGCATATCGCCGTTCTAACTGAAACGTTCCTTAAACCTGACCATTAGGTTAAAGGGGCGCAAATTATTTCATTTATAGAAATGATCGCATTGATGGAGCCTGTGGTGGCGTTGCCATCATTGTTCATAGACGAATCAAAATTAAAATTCTTTCTTCATTTGAAACCAAAGTTTTTGAATCTTTGGGAATTTATGTTGAAACCAAATTTGAACAACTTACGTTTAAAGCAAAAGAATGTTCTCAAGGGTGACCTTCAGAAACTTAACCGTCATAGGTCTAAATTTTTCATTATTGGTGATTTCAATGCAAAACACTGCTCATGGAATAATGTTCAAAGCAATTCCAATGGTAATATTCTGTTTGATGATTGTTCTGCAGGTTATTACACTTTTCAATATCCAAACAGCCCAACATGCTTTTCTTCAGCAAGAAATCCCTCAACTATTGATTTGGTCTTAACTGATTCATGTCAAATTTGTAGCCAATTGGTTACCCATGCTGACTTCGGTTCTGATCACCTTCCAGTAACTTTTGAAATATCCCAAGAAATAATTTCAAATCCCAACAGCTCTACTTTCAATTAGCATAGAGCTAATTGGGAGCAATATCGAACATTTATGGAATATAGCTTTGATCCAAACATTCCTTTGCAAACCAAAGATGATGTTAATTATACTCTTGAATCTCTAACTACTTCTATAGTTGAAGGAAGAGCTGCCTCAGTGCCAAAATACGAGGTTAAATTCGATTCAATTATAATAGACGATGATCTTCAGCTCTTGATTCGTCTTAAAAATGTCCGTAGGAGACAAAATCAGAGAACACGTGATCCTTCCATGCAGGGTTTCTTCCACTCACTTGCTATAAAAAAATGTTTTTCGGAATTATGAAATCATGAAATAGTATAATGCTAATTAGTACATGTAAGCAGGCTTAGAGATGAACTAGCCTAAGGCTAAAAATCTCTTAAATAAAGAATTTAAAAAAAAATGTAAGCAGGCTTGCTTCCACTCACTTGCTATAAAAACATGATTTTCTGAATTTTGGAATCATTAGATGTTATAATCATAATTTTTACTTGTTAGATACAAGAAGAGGTTGAAAGGAAAGTGTTTGACACATTAAACCTGTCAAATTCGCTTTGAGATGGTCACAATCAGCGAATTTAAGACTCGCGAGCGCTCACTTTGTGTGAACGCTCACGAATCATAAAATCGCTTATTGTAACACACTGGTAGCGAAATTTACAGCTTTTATGAGTCAAACACTTTGCTTTCATCCGCATCTTATATCTAACAAGCACAAAATATCATTATAACATCGAATGATTTCAAAATTCAGAAAATCATTTTTTTTTTAGCAAGTGAGTGGAAGCAACCCTGCTTGTAAGTTACAAGAAGAGGTCATGAAGTATATGTTTGACACATAAAATTTGTCAATATTGCTTTGAGTGCATCACAATCAGCGATTTTACGACTCGTGAGCGCTCACTCTGAGTGCACGCTCACGAACAGGCTTGCTTCCTCACTTGCTATAGAAAATGATTTTTTTGATTTTTGAAATCATTATATGTTATAATGATATGTTGTACTTGTTAGATATAAGAAGAGGCTGAAAGGCAATTTTACGATTTTACGACTCGCGAGTGCTCACTCTGAGTGAGCGCTTAAGAATCATAAAATTGCTGATTTTAACACTCTGGAAGCGAAATTTACAGGTTTCATGTGTCAAACACTTGCCTTTCATTATAACACCTAATAATTTCAAAATTGAGAAAATCTTTTTTTTTATGATGATGATGATGATGGTCCCACCTCTTACCCCTACAAAGGTTTTAGCTGGACGATTTATCTTTAAGATAATTGAATAATATAGCAAGTGAGTGGAAGCAACCCTGCTCACGAATCACAAGATCGCTGATTGCGACGCTCTGAAATTGACAGGTTTTATGAGTCAAACACATACTTTACACCCTTTTCTTGTTACTTACTAGTACAACATATCATTATAACATCTAATGATTGTATAATTCCGAATAATATTTTTTTATAGCAAGTGAGTGGAAGCAACACTGCTACGATGAAAGTTATCTGGCGGGATTTGCAAAAACAAATTAAAAAGCGATTCTCTGCCCTGAGGAACCAAACTTTTGAAAATAATGTTTCTAAATTAGACCCGAGTTCCAAACCCTTTTGGAAACTCACAAAATTTTTGAAAAAGCTTCAAAAACCTATTCCAGCGCTTAAAGAAGGTGGTAAAATTTTGATCATAAATTCAGAAAAAGCTCAGAATCTTGCTAAGCAATTCGAGAGCTCCCATAATTTCAGTTTGGGTCTTACTAGTCCTATTGAGAATCAGGTTGCTCGGGATTATCTGAATATTTTCTCTCGAGAAAATTAAAACATATTGATTCCTTCGGGACTGATATGGACGAAGTAAGATCTGTAACTAAAATGTTTCATAATATGAAAGCTCCAGGTTATAATGGAATTTTCTATATCCTCATCAAAAAACTCCCAGAGAGTACCTTGTATTTCTTGGTAAAATTATTTAACAGATGTTTCCATTTGGCATACTGTCCTGATAAATGGAAAAATGCAAAAATTGTACCAATTTTGAAGCCGTATAAAATCCAGCTGAAGCTTCTAGCTACCGTCCAATAAATTTGCTTTCTTCAATAAGTAAACTTTTTGAAAAGATAATTTTAAATAGAATTATGCTTCACATCAATACGAACTCAATTTTTGCAGATGATCAGTTTGGGCCATGGGCATTCAACTACTCATCAACTCTTAAAAGTTAACAATTTAATTCAGTCAAACAAATCTGAAGGCTGCTCAACTGGAGTTGCTCTTCTAGACATAGAAATAGCATTCGAAAGCGTTTGATTTATAAGACTGCTTTGTATGCCCCGGAAGTGCTGAGCTCCTGAAGGGAACCCCCTAAACCCCAAGCTGCTGGTCTTGAACAACGGCAGCTTCCAGGGATGGCACTCAAGACCTTTGTAGGTTCCGGGTCTCAGGGCGTATAGGCGTGGGAGACTTTTCGGACACGGGAGAACCTACCCAACACTATGTAAATTGTTAAATACCTGTTTATTAGATTTGACGGTACATTGCGGGCGGTGGGCGGCGATGGTGATAGTTCGGAGGGGGCGCTGGTTCAGAGGACGCCGGTACAGTGTGTAACTAATGAAGACTTCCACCCGTTGCCGGGACGGCCGTCTTTACTAGTTTGCCGGACTAGCTCACCAAATAATAAAACTCAGGGTCGGCACAAAACCACGCTAGGAAAAGACTCAAGGCGAAACACTCCAACTATCGTAAAGGAAACCACACTAGATCGATTTCTTTGGTGCATGCAAAAGATGTTCGCGACACAAGCAAATTAGATTGAATTTTAAACTTTTAAAAATTTATTCAAAATGGAATTGGAACTTTTTTAGACACTTTTGACTCACTGTTCTCTCGTTGATGCTGCTCACTGCTACCACTGCCTCGTTGGTGGTGCACCACGTGGATCGCTGACCTCGTTCCCGCGCTCGGCCGACCGCCTAACACGCCTCCTCGATGAAACCGCTAGCTTCTTCGCACTTTCCGATGGTACGGTGCGTTGATGGAGTTTTTGGAGAGGACCGTATGGTGACGGACGGTCCGTTCGACAGCCTGGGAAGCGGTCTAGCGTGGATAGCACTCCGGAACTATTTGGCTTCTGACCGGTAGCTACAAACTATCACTGCACGCTCTTCAACACGTGTCGTTTAGAAAAAAAATGTCCAAAAGATTCACAGGACCACTTTCTAAGTTTGCGGAACACGGTTGGAATTGGGCACAACGTTACTCGAATGCGAGAACACTCCTTGACGTTTAGCGACCGATCAAAGGTAACGCGGCAAAAGAACTTCTGTTATTATTTTTTTTTAGAAAATTTTGTCGAACACTCCGTATAACTTCACTTCCCAGGATTAAGAGACTTTTGTGGGGGTGAAGTGAGCTTATATAGCTTTGCCAAGATAAGTTAGGTAGCATTCCAACTCATCGTACGATCATCACGCCATCCTCGATCGCCTGAGTCTGCGCGCCTTCGGCTCACTTCGTGCGTTCGAGCAGTTGGGTTCGAGTATCGGCAGCCCGGTCGAATTCGAACATGCGAGTCGCCCTAACACTACCTAGATTTTAGATGGCCCTAGCTGCTTCTACAATGCTCAAAAGAGATACAATCCGTCTCATTTGG